TCGCTAATACTCAAACGAAAGAGATAGACGGAATGGAAAAAAATCAATCGATCATTTCGTTTACACACCTAATATTCTATATACCAAGCAGTTATTAAGTCTACGATGAACCACGTTAAACTACAGTATGAACAAGTATCGCGATGCAAGTGTTGTCGCCAGAACCTGGTTTAAGAAAATAGGAAAGACGGGCGACACCTCGCTAACCCGGATCCATCTTTTACTGCCATGGAGCTTTGGGCTGGTCACCTGCGTACCAGACCCGAACCAAAGAAGTACACACGCATGGTAGTGCAAGCGAGATTCTCTGTTTACGGAGCAGCCTCCCGACTACTCCGTACCCTTGCACGCACGAGTCTTTCTCCAAATCCTACTTACCCGGCAAGGACTAAACACGTCCGATATCTGGCTTCTCAATAGAAACCAGAGGAATGGGCAAACAGTCTTAGTGTACAGACCCACTGCCCGTACCCTAGGTACGGACCCACTGCCCGTACCCCAAGTCTGTGTAGAGAATCAACGAGCAAAATGAATTAATAATAACTTGGTATGCACAATGTATGGTCACAATTTAAGTCTATTAATAGATAGACTAAAATGAATGATAAACGATGTGATGATGAATATGAATATAACAATGAATATCGAATTACGATTTAAGTTTAACTTACAGTAACTTAACGCAATGGTAGACGCTTTGAAGATGTAGACGTTGATCGATGTCTTCTTTCGATGGAATAACTGATTGGAAAAATATTTTTCATTATACAATACACATAGAATACATAATATGCACAGTAAATAAATCACAGTAAATGAATCACAGTACATAAGAAAATAAATATCGAAGTCAATGGTTCTCGAACATCTGTAACATACAAGGGATTAGTAACAAGAGAGGGGACACAACAATATGCACAGTAAATAGATTAATAATATGCACAGTAAATAAATTAACAATATTGACAGTAAATAACAAGTTCCTATATACGGTGGTTGTCGAATGCCTGCAACAAACAATGGGTTAGTAACAAGAGAAAGGACGAGTATGAGACGCACGCCCACCCTCCGCGACGGCTCACGAGAAAGTGAGGAAGCTAACGCCGTTATCTATTGGGTGTACGCAGGTTTGTTCGTGTTGAATTGTTTTTGCCGACTTGAACGACCTTCCTCCTTGAACGACCCAAACACCGGATGGTACGGCCTGGTACGGCGTACACGGCTAGGTCAATAAACTGTGTGACGTAACGTCACTAGCGCGTTGGACCGATCGAGAGCACCGATACCGCGGCAGGCAATACCGTACTCTCTCGCTTGCACACCTCCCCCCATAGACCACCGAAATTCTTCGGCACGCGTCAACACCGAAGGAGAGCACCGATACCGCGGCTCGCTCTATCGCTCTCGCTCGCACGCCGTAACTTCACCCGATTCCCGGAATCCCGCGGTTACAAGATGGCTCATTACGGTAAGGCATTCCGCAAGGGAAATTGTAAGCCGCCGGCCAAAAGGTAGATTTAATAAATTATTTATGAAACTACATCTATTCTGAATTTATCTGTTACAAATATACAAATCTAAAGCAAAATATAAAAACGAATAAAACAAGAACATGTAAAAAGTAACATTAATAAAATGTCCATTAACGATGCATTTAGAATAAATTGTCTTGTAGTTCAGTGAAAAAATATATACTTTTCCGTTTCATGTTTCATGACTGTCATATTTATCCCTTAACCTTAAACTGAAGCATCGGATATTTTTATTCTCGTGAAATGATATAGATACACGTAATATGAATGGAATATATAACACTTCATTTGTGCTAATAATACTCAGAAT